GAGAATGTCACGAAATTGGCCATCGAGCAGTCCACCTTCATATTCCAGTCTTCATTTACCATTGTGATTATATCTTGAGCCCTTGTTTGACAAGTAGTTATTCCATAATTCAACAGGGATAACACCCGCACTAAAAAGCAACGACAGCGGCATGATTACTTTTTTTGATGACGTTAACATTTCTTCCACCGCCGCCTAGCACCTCCTTATCCTCGAGGCTCCTGTGCCGGCACTGGCAGATCCTGCACTCTATATCTTCTCTGAGCTCTTGAGATACTGTGTATGAGAGTGGGCTGCCGGAGGGATCGCGTGGCACTTATGAGTCCGGGACTGGTTAGAGTAAGGCGACTAATGTTTATCGACAGTCGTTCGTAAACGCGTACACATCCATAACGATTGTGTGCGAAGGTAATAATATACCGATAAGTCCCATATCTTTTCTCTAAATCCTTAAAACTGATATCATACGCCTATACCTCTTGCATTTCTCCTGGTGCTGCAAGTTCTTGTGAGAGTGTTGGAATTCCATTAGCTTTATGACAGTGATCCCTAGGTCATAGAATAATCCTGCAGGATTCATTGAACGACAATATACAACAGAATATTTGAGAAAAAATTTACCCATGTTTCCACAAACTCTACCTTTACCTTGTGCTGCACTTTATACCATCCCGTCTACTTAAGTCCACATATCCAAGACCGAAGGACCCGCCTAACCTTCTGCAGCTGCTGCTGAAACCCCTTGTCCTCTGGCAGTTTCATCTACAGCTCCCGCCTCTGGTTCATATCAACCTCCCCAGTTTGACTCTACCCTCACACCCTGTTGGAGTGGCAGAGCTGGTGAGAATGCTGTATGGAGCTGAATCGTCACTAAATTGGTCCAAACTTTATATCATATGATAGTAGCAGTGACCTCACGATTATCGGAGACACCCAAAGAAATTTCGAAGTCTCCGCTAACTTGATTGCGAGAAGTGATTCCTTTAACCGATGTCGAGGATTCAGATGAGGAAGAGCTGGCCGAAATCTTCCGAAGGTATGCAGTACTCAGTAGTACGTATATAGGCGCATATACTTTGCATATACTCCGAGATGGAAGGAGATCTGCTGGATTATGTAATCTTTCCGACGCGTGTGTCTTCAATTTATTTAAACTTTTCTCGTTACCGTCACTCTGGATGACAATTTCCGCTGCGTCGTCGTCGTCGTCGTTCCGGTCGCATCCTCCCTCGCTCAGCGAGCTCAAACAGCTCAAAAACCGAGTCATCGGCACACCGTCGGCGAAATGTCGGCTAGCGCAAGATGATGGAACGATGAAAATTTTGGTGGGCACGACTATGGATGCGGGGGCGGGGGATGATATTCGGACAGAGACTGCGCAGATTCTTGCTTCTTTGGCTTCGCTTGGTGGTCATGCCAATGACACCGTGGTACTAGCAGCTCTGATCGAAGCAGATGCTTTGAGAGGATGCTTGTCTGCGCTGTCAAAGACAACGACTTTGCAAGTTAAATTAAGATTGGTACTGGTTCGGGCATTGAGCGGGATAGCGGGGGACTTGGCAGAGCTTGTGGGACCATCACTATGGGGGCTTGGTGCTTTCGAAGATCAGTGGTTAGCTGGACCTGCGGCACAGACTCTCGAGTGGTTTTTCAGTGCGGAAGCAATGGATATTTGGGTACCAATGCTGTCGGGGGAAGAAGCTGGTGCTGTTGCAAACATGATCGGGACAGTGGTTCGTACCCAACCAGTCAGGGAACGTTTATGCTCGTGGAGGAACGCTGGAGAGAGAGAGAGGAAGGAAAAGCGAGGCTGGGAGGCGACCAAGGCACCGACGTCGGGCGGATACGTTTTGCGAAGTTTACTGGACTTGGCCAGGAAAAAGACCACCCTCGGAAGTGCTTTGTTCGCGTTAGCCGCGCTGGTTAAGGATAATCCCACTGCGGCGAACGAGCTGCCGTTGCCGGAGATTGTGGGTTATGCAAAATCTCGGTCAGGAGACGACCAGCTCTCCGCTTGCCTGTGTGCCACGCACATCTTGCGAGCGTCACCCTCAGGCTCTGCCCCACCCGCGGCCGATGCGATTCTAAGTGTCCTGATGGCAATGATAACAAACCGGACTGCCCATTCTGCCAAGGCTGCCTTCATTCTCTCTCATCTCATGGCCGACTCTGCCATCTATGCACAGCTCGCGTATGACCGCGGTGCTCTCCGTGTTTTACTATCTATTCTCCGGAAATTGACACCACCATGTCCGCCGCTTCCCGCTCTCCCTCCAATGAACTCCCCTTCGCTGGCTTATTTTACAGGCCCTGAATGGGAGTCATGGCTCGAGCACGAGCTCGACCAGCCAAAAGTCGAGATTCGCTTTCGAGAGGCAGTGATGCTGTGTTTGGCCAGTATCAGTCTGTTGATCAATGATATTCGTAGGGCTTTGACTGAAGATGAGGGGGAAACAGCTTCACAGCCTGCTACCGATGCCGAAACACCTTCTACAGCATCCTCATCGCAATCTCAGCCCGCCCTCTCCCTCATCCTCGCCGGTCTTTTTTCCCCTCACGCGTCCCTCCGACACGCAGCATGTCATGTCATTCGAGCCCTCACGCGCAGCGTCGCCGTCATTCGTACCAGCATCATCGATTCCGGCTTGGGTTGGCTCGTGTTCGCTCTGTTCATGGGCCGGAAGGAAGCGCGCCCTCGAGCAGCTTTAGGTCCAATCGGTGTGAAAGAGAAGGAAGATCCCCGAGTCGTGAATGCCGCGCTCCGCGCGATATGTAACGCCGTGTGCGACTTTAGCCCGCTCAAGCCTGTGTACATCGAGCACGGGTTGATCCCCAGGTTGGCGGAGCTGATACATCCGCCTCCGCATTCGACGCCTGAGGTGGATCCTGATGCGGATTCGGAGGATGGGTTAAGGTTCAATGCGCTGTGGGCGGTGAAGAATATTGTTAGGAAATCGACTCTGAGTGAGAAGAAGGAGGTGATTAGTATGCTTGGTTGGCATCGGTCGTCGAAGGCGTTTGAGGAGGCTGGAGAACAGAAAAGTCGACTTGATGAGTGAGTGTCTTTTTTTCTGTTTCGAACTTACATTAACTAAATAATGATATTTTTTCCTTCTTTGGTTATATAGTCTGCTCAGCACTTCATCTCCTAAAATCCTCGAGCAAACTCTCAACATCCTTCGTAATCTCTCCGAGGACGAAGATGGGATATCCATTGTCATGACTGAACTCGATATCCGACATCCATCTTCTACTCCCCTTGCCCCTTCAACGTCTTCGACCTCCTCCCCATCTTCTTCGTCTTCTCCCTCCGGTTCCATCCTCCTCTCCCACCTCACATCCATCCTCAACCACCCGTCCCCCTCGACTTCGACCTCAACCTCCTCATACACCCCGCACACTCCGCACACCCCCCATGTCCCTCACACTCCATACACCCCAATGACCCCGCACACCCCGCACACCCCAACCGACATCCTCATCCAATCCGCATCTCTCCTCGCCAACCTCGTCAACTCGCCTGATCTAAGGCATCATCGGATGATCCTGGGGTGTCCAGGGATGGTGCAAGCGTTGAGGAGGGTACTGGCGGAGCAGGGGCCGGAGGTGAGGAGGCCGGTGGTTAGGGCGGTGTTGGAGATGGTGAAGGTTGATTTTGGAGCGGGGGATGAGGAGGGGGATGGGGATGGGGGAGAGGGGGAGGGGAGTGAGGTGGGTGGGGAAGATGATGATGAACGAGAAGGTGGGGGTGGGGGTGCAGGGAGAGGGAGGGGTGCAGATAGAGAGGGGGATGAAGACGTGGATGTTATGGGGATTGGGTACGGAGTAGGGATGGGTCGGTCTGCTTCCGGTTCAGCGTCCGCTTCGACTTCAGGGTCAGTTTCAGCTTCCGGTTCTGGTTCTGGATCGAGACCGGGAAGGAAACGGGCCTCATCTTCGTCTACTCGATCAACCGGGATTGGAATGGGAACCGGGGCGCGGAGAAGGACACAAGGAGGACTTACGGGTGCACATAGGATTTTGACTGACGCGGGGTTTGTAGGGACATTGAGGAGGATTGTGGATCAGCATCATCATCTTCCTTTGGCGCATCATTCGCATGGGCATGTGGGTGGATCGATAGGGCATGGTGTCGGTGTTGGTGTTGGGGGTGGAGGGTCGGGGATGTATGGTCATGGGCATGGGCATGGGCATGCACACGGCGTAAGCTCGAGTTTCGGTTCGTCATCCCATGGTTCGGCGACGTCTTCGTCTGTCTTGCATCATCATTATTCGGTGCTTGGATTCGGTGCGGGTGAGGGGGGAGGCGTAGGTGGCGTAGGTGTGGGCGTAGGTCCCGGTGTGGGTGCGGGTGCGGGTGTGGGTCATCATGGGACCGGAGGGATAGCGGGGAATATGGGGCGGGAGGATCGGGAGGATTTGGAAGTTGCGAGGACGGCGTTGGATTGGTTGGAGCATGGGGATGTGTATGCGTACACGACTGCTACGTATGCTAGGAGGGCTAGTGTTAGTGTTGGAGTTGGAGTTGGTGGGGAGGGGAGAGCGAGGAGTGGGAGTGTTGATGTTCCAGATCATTAAGGGACTTGTTTTTTTTTTTTTTTTGGTTCATGGTTTTGGTTTTTTGATCTTTTGTTTTGCGATAGCTCTTGGGTGCGTAGTCGGTTGGGAATGGAAATGTGCCATGAAGGGGTTGGAAGCTTGATTTTTTGATCTGAGTATGGATGCATATGGTTTAGATGTATTCCTTGCTTTGTGTATTGTCATGTACCTATATCTGATAGCTGAAAGGTTGTACAGCATATGTACAAATGCAGCAAAAGCTTGCGGATTACTTTGAACCGATAGTCCCTGACCATGTTGGGGAATGTTCGGAAGGCACTACATATCAAGGTGGCATCGATGTCAATCACCTACGCCGCAAAGAGACCCCTAAGTTATTGCACCAAACAAAGAGCGATGGAAAAAGATACACTTTTTGAGAACAACCAATGGACTCAGAATGGACTAGTCCGGATTTGGACCGGAGACCTTTCGCAATGGAAACTATCACAAATCTCAGTCCTATGAATGCAAAGCGAACGCGATAACCCCTACGCTACTAGCCCATGATTATATATTAAATGAAGGAATAATAGAACACAATAATCAGAAGTGGCAAATGCTTGGTCTCTGGCATCGAGGAATGCAGGTGCAGGATCTTTTTCATTTTATGAACATCCCGCAGGCATTCTTTGGGCTCGCCGCTGCATTACGGTGCAACTGTGTGTACATTCAAAGTATATGAAGTTACATCTTATTGCTAGTAATTGGAGAAAAAATTACTACTGGTATACTTACATACTACACTTAAGAATGCCATCTACTTACTTTGTCTTCAGTACCTCAACAAGCTGTTCAATGGATGCGCCAAGCCTCGAAAGGGTATTATCAATGGATGCAAGACTATTGTCCATGGATGGAAGCCTTGAAAGACTGCTCTCAATGGATGCCAGTCGATGGTCCAACTTTTCTAGAATTGCAAGCTGCGGTAATGAGCCAGCCTCGGCAACCACAGATTCCATAGTTGCTTTTGGTGCTTCTGGAGGAACGTCATCAAACAGGTCATCGAAGGGAGGTGATGGTGGAGCAACATAAGGTTCCAATTCTGGAAACTTAATCGTCTCCTTGGCATATTGGATTGGCCGAATTTCGTCCTGAGAGTTACTGCATGAAGGACAGGGAACATATCCAAGGCAAGCAAATCCTTTTGTTCCAACAATATCTTTGGTGATAAGGATTTTGAATGCATAAACTCGTTGACAGGAGAGGTCAACAAGAGCCCAGCACTTCCATGACCAGGCCGAGGGCGTTTCGGAGTATTGAGTCTGTCCAATATCGAGATCTGACAGATCAACTTCTGATTCGCCCATTTTAAGTGCTTTGTGGACAGTTTTCTGCAGGTCAAGTTCAAACAGCCAAGGCCAACGAGGCCCTATCTGTACTGCAATCTCACCTGTAATACTAGAGACTTTCTCAGAAGGGGTCTGAGCTATGTGGACTCCGTATCGCTTGAAGGTAAAAGGGTCGTCGATATAAAAGAAAGCGATATCTTTGCTTTTCGCCTGATCAACTACCACGGGTGAAACGTAATCCAGGACGAGAGAACATTCCTCTTCTTCGACGTCCGTCAGGACCAGCTTTATACGCAGGGGACGTTGTCTGGCCACAATCGAAAGATCACGCCACATTATATCACCGGTTTGAATTTTTCTTTCCTCTGCAGAGAGAGGTACACCGACATTAAACTTGTATATCCAGGTTTGACGTGGTTCAATGGAAATAGGGAAAATAACTTGTTCCTTCGAGCTCGACTGGATTAATTCTCCAGGCTTATATGTTTCATCACCAATGAAGCGATAAAAGGGAGTGACCGACGAGATAGAAATTGACTCCATGGACTTGGGCTGGTGTTTGTTGAAAACGGATATAGTCCCTGTAAAGATTTCGTAATTTGAATTGGAATCAAAGCCGGCTGACTCCAGTGGTGGGTCAGAGACTACTTTCAGCACCACTGGGAGATTCGGTGATGTGCGAGGTTTGAAATTCTTTCGAACTTCACGAGGTGCCTTTTCAGGTAGAATAGCACTCACTCGTTGAACCTCAGGGAGAATGTATGGTGTGCTAGGCCTGTAGGGGCGCAGACCACCTTCAGATAAAGTCTGAATTTCCCCCGTTAGGGTGGCAGTCGTAATGTCAAATGAACAGAATCTAATGAAAGGAGCTGGTGAGGTAGACGCTTTCACCGTGATATTGATCCCTATGATGACTCCTTCTGCTGACAACACCCATTCCAGCATCGCATACTGCTCTTCAGAGTGGGAAGTTCGGAAAAGGACAGTCTGGTGAGTGATTTCTGCAACCCTGGAGGCAACTTCAAGGTCATGGGTGTTGAAGGCCCTAAACAAGTATGGGGTAGATATTGACACTTGTCCTACTTTGATGAGTATGGTAGGCAATGCAGGAGCAGCACCACGATATTTCCAGCGCAGAAGACGGCTTACAGAAGCCGTAATCAGCTCTGAGGTATCAAGATTGAAATCCTGGACATAGACCCATCGATCATACTCAGAGATGTTTCTGGCAAATGAAAAAAAATTCCCATAAAGATAGTCATAGTGGTGTTCGGAACGATGACGTCCTGCCTGGCATGGATTTTGAGTGTTACAGCAAGCATAGGTTTTACCCTCGGAGTCATATTCTGCACGATGGAAGGAACAGGATTTCTCTCCATTGGTGGATTCATGATACTCTCTGTCACATTGAACACATATAAATTTCTGCTCCTTGGCCGACTCGTTCATTTGTGCAGCCAGTCCCTTGATTCCGTCAATGACGGATGCACTGACACTCTCGTTGAGAGATTGTTCCAAGCGATCCTGGTTTTGCTGCAAAACTTCGGTAATGTTACTGTTGAGTTGCTCCATGACTTTTTCATCCATCGAAAGTTTCATCTCGGCTGCGAACTGTTTCACAAGCTCTTCATTCTCCTTTACAGCCTCCAGTCCTCCATGAGCGGCAACAAATTTCTCTGCAGCTTCGTCCTCAGGGTCCGAAGGGACCGGTCGAGTGAGGATGTCCAGCTGCATGCTTTGATGGATCTGAAGACTGACCGTCAAGTCATTCGTGCAGTCCTTGAGCGAGGCGGCGCATGACGCAAAGCGGTCCTTGTTGTGAACACTGAGGCGTCGGGCAATAGCATTTTGTTTCCGGTAGGTTTGAATAAGTGCTGCAGCCTTTTTAAGAACATCGTTCATATGATCGATGACCTGTCGCGTCGAGTCTGTGACTTTGATCTTTTTCAGAGCAGGAAGGTGGCTCAGCATAAAAGTGATGCGCTGAACAAGATCAGTGCACTTTGCGTCTACATCTCGGGCGCGTTGTTCGACAGCGATGATGGCCTTTATGATCACGAATGCGGGAGCGACAAAAGGCATAACTTTTCCGAGGTCGGCCAAGCTATCCATCACGTTTAATGCGTGCTGGATATAATCTGTTGCAGTAGAAACGGCGCTGTTCAAAGAAGGAGAACCGCCGCCTCCTCCTGTATCGGTAACGACATCGGCGGCACCGTCGGCTGTGTCGTCAACGTTGTGCACAACACCAGCGGCTGCCTGAACCACACCGACGGTGGTCCCAACACCTCCACCAGAGATTTGGACTTTGTCATTGTAAATTTTGCCTCGGCCTTTGGAATCAAGTCCAAAAGTCCCAGTAGGGATCTCCTGTAGAAGTCCAGAGCTATTATCCACCAAACTAGAAATTAATTTAGAAGAGTCCGGGCAAAACAAAATTGTTGGGCATCGTACGAGAGCAGCTGACTCAGCCCATTACTGAGGGAAGAGGGATATGTCAGGACCCGCCGGATAATCTTTTTTGGATCTATAAGAATTGCAGTATTGCGCTAGGGAACTTTCCATCGGTAATGATGTATCATGAGGCAACGGAATGACCCACAGTCGACGCAGTGTCTCTGGCATTATTACCTGTTGGCAGTGACATTCCATACAAACTCGAAATCCGTCCTTGATCATCTGCGATCTACTCAAGTAAGTGCTAAGCGTCCAGATCTAAGAAGGAACAGCCCACAATTTGCACGTCTTTTCCTGAACCAGGTCGCTGACTGTAGTGCTGCGATAGTGATTGCCATTGGGTACTCTCGCTACGCCAGTTTCTTGAAAGTCCTACAATCTTCATACCTCGCCGCTCAATGTCCGGTAGGTTTCGTGCCACTTGGGTAAGTTCGGTCATTGCCTGGACCGAACCAGGAAGAACGAACACTATAGACTATAAGCAGATGAGGAAGAAGTTTCGGCGAATGTTGAACATGACGCACCCATGATTCTCCGACCCAGTGATGAAACCTGAAGGGACCGGAGGTAGTATTCGCTTCAAAGTTGGGGGCCATACCTCCTACGGTGGGGAGAGCTTGTTTGTGGGACATGTTAGTTTGTTGAGAACAGGATACTACAAAATCAGGCTTTAAAGCCGTCCTACAACGTACCCTAGACCACGATAATTTGTAGTCAATGATACGCTCTGGGCGATGATCCAGCGCTCATGTCCTGTGTAACTTGGGACAGATGGACTGATAAAAGTGATAAGCCAGTGAGGGATACCACCAATTTTATCGCAAAAACGACCCTAATATTAAGCTATTCATTCTCAGAAAACTTTAAGATTGTTGGGATCCAGGTAGTCAAATTTGATAGGACGATTCAAGTGCATACTCCGGTGATAATCTGTCCCAAACCTACAGTTGACAGAAGATAGACACGATGGGCGTTGACATGATGGATCAAGCTCAAGGCACGCTGTCACAACAGGCCGGAATCCCGGCCAGCGCTTATTACCCAGGTAGCGTCTAGCTTCGATCTAGCTTCCTGATTGAAAGGTTCCTTGCCTCGAATTTTGTTGCTCGTCCGCCAAGGTTCAAACTCAAGCCACATAGCATCTATATTCCCGTTCTTAAACTCTTTTCTAACCACCTCAATTGTTTTCTGGACTAAAGGACGCCATCACGCCAACTTGCCAGTCGACATTCACTTCGTTCTAATCACAGCTTCCGACCGACCGCGTCCTTGAATCAACCTTGATTGTCTTAACTCTATCACCAATGATCATTGAAGAAGTACGCCACTCATTGGCCACTTACAGAAAATCGTGTGCGAAGGAAAGGGAATACATAGTAAAACGCCGTGCGAAGGTTTAGATTTGCAAGTCTGTTGATTTTGATCATCGCTCCTTCATCCGGGTCCCATCATTATAGTTCAAAAATACAATAGCCTACAAACGCTCTCCCCGCTAACTAATTCCGGCATTTATCTCAAGAGGACTGTATAGAAAATCTCGACGACATTTATGCAGTTCTCGAGATGCAGAAATATGCGAAAATTCTTCAGGAATCTGCTCTCCCTCAACCCGCAATAGTCACAGCACCCAACCCCTAGAACGACAATGCTTATCCTGATCCAGAGCCCATAATCCGGCTCGCGTCCAAACTCGCTTTCCACGAACATTGGCTCTCAAAGATACACAACGAACGGCCGTCATCGCGTCCATATACCAA